TCCCCTTTCAGATATGCGGGCAGTGACTCCTTTTTCGCCAGGACCGTATGGAGGTCATCCCGATGGGGGCGCCTCATCAGCTCCTGCTGCAGCCCGGAGACCGCCGACTCTAGGTGCCGCAACGTTGCGCGCACCCGCTTCCGTTCTTCCGTCGCGTACCTCCTGAGCGCAACCTTGAGCTTGGTAAGAAAGGAGTCGAAATTGCCCGATTCACCCGCTTGATGCCTCTACGTGACCGCTTTAATCGCCTTCTCCACCCCTAGTTTTGCCGTGTCTGCAGATGGCATCCGCCAGATGCCCGGGCCCATATGCACCCTCAGGTCCGCCTGCAGCACCACCTTAATACCACCTTGTGATCCGAGATGCCACCCAGCGAACGAGTGTGAAAAGCGTCGACCACCGAGGGCAGCAGTATCCAATCAATCCTCGAACTTGTCTTCGTTGCCCTCGCAAAAAAGGTGAACTCGCGGCCGCCAGGATTCAGAGTCCAGAACGTGTCCACCATGTGAAGACCGCTGAAAAGCTGCAACATTCTGTCATTTTCCCCGGACGACCCCCTCCCCCTTCCGGGGACTTGTCCAGGGTTGGGTCCTCCACGACATTAAGGTCGCTCGCCAGCAGCAGCTTACCCCGACTGCTCAGACCTGTAAGAAAGGGGCCCAGCTCGTCCCTGAAGAAGGTAACTCCGTTGCACGCGCTTGCCGGGAACTATGCCGCAAGAATCGTGAAACTGAAAATGTCCCATCTCACTTCCGCATGAATGAGCCTCCCCGAGGCATGGAAGGCATGAATGAGTCTCGGAAACTAACTGCTTGTTGTTGCTGGCAATTGCCACCCCTCCAGCTCTCTCCACGTCAGCCACCGCAAGCATTGGTGAAAATTCAGCCGCTTCCAACACTCATGGTCAGGGGATACCCTTGTGTCCGTAAGAACGAAAATGTCCGCTTCCTTCCTTGTCCATCTTTTCAAGTTTCGTTGCTTTCCTCTACTTCCGAGCCCATTGACGTTGAGCTCGCACACTGACAGCTTGCAGGGCTTATCCAGTAATCTACCAGGTGAGAGCCCCAAAGCATTCACGGGCTGCAGAAAGGCATCTGAAATAGTAGAAGTTACCACTATATAGCATTGCATACAACACACATGATCTCCATACTAACAAGCATTCTTCTCCCTCTCTCCTCCCTACTGAGATGCCCTTTAAATCCCATACTCCTTGCGCAACACTTGCAGGTTCAGCTTGTCCTTGAGAGCGCGCGTCGCAACCCCCTGCTTTGCCAACCCCCCCCCCCCCCCCCCCGGTGGCGCTGGGACAGCACATGATGAGCAGCCTGCTTGAAAGAAGAGTCCTTCCCCTTCTCGCAGCATTCCAGCAGGCAGACCCATTCCTCCCTGTTTTCGGCCGTTGAAACCAGCACCAACGCGGGGTCCTTGAGGATGATCCTGGTTGTCGCTGTGGCTACTGTTGCAGCCGCTGCACGGATGGGAGGTAAGCAGCTGGACATCAGATACCGCCAAACGAAGGAAGGAAAATAAACAGCGTGAACAACAAGGAAAGGTAAGCGAAAAAACACCATCTCTACCATTGAGCTCCTAGACCCTCCCCACTGTGAGGTTCCACTTGGAGATGTTGTTTTGCCGCTCTGTAATGAATTCGTTGTGCACCGAGTGCATTTCCCCGCATAGCGAACATTTTAAAGCCGGGTAATGCACCATGACCTTCACGCCAGGCGAGACCTGGTTCTCGAGCTGATGGAGCCACCGAAACTTATCGTTCTCGTGAGCGACAACCAACCCCTTCACCCGGTCTGTGTAGCCCCGAAACAGGATGCACCACGCGGTGGAAGTGGAAACCATCCTTGAAAGCCGGACGCTTGCATATCTTCAGCAGAGAGACAGCCAGCGCCTCATGAAGCATCTCCGGGGAGATTTCCGCAGCGACACCAAGGAACAGCACCTCGATAACCGCCGTGTCAGTAATGTTCCTCTTCGTGTAGCCAGGATCTTCCGGGTACAGCCAGTCCAGGAAGATGTACTTCCCACCCACGCACTGATGCTCAAAGTTAGCATCAGAAGCAGCGACAAAAATGACTTGCATGCGACCGTAAAGCTTCTTCGAAATGTAACCCGGATCCAGTTCCTAGGACGTTGTCGTTTTAGCCGCGTTTTCAGTAAGTTCATTCTCCCACATCCCCATCATCTCCTTAACAGTCGCCTGCGTACAACGGACTTACTGCAGATGGTCGCTTGGAATAAGCAGGGTGAGCGGGAAGCGTAGCTTCACCGCCAGATCTTCTTTCGCATTGTCCTCAAAACATTCCTTCGGATCATGAGCCAAAAGCCTGTCGACCTCATCATCGAGGAAGCTAATACGGCGAGCAGCACCAGATGCGTCCCCGTCTTCATCGTCCGCAGCGGTATCTTCTTTCGCGTCAGAAACTGCATCCTTTCCTTTGCCATTGCCCGCCTTCCCACCAGCAGCTTGCTCAATCCGGAAAGCCGCCAGCTTGGTTGACAGTGTCAATGACTCCGAGTCATCTTCCGCGAACATAGTGCGTGACAACTTCGACGGAACAACAGTAGCCGAAGATGGACGCACAGAAGGACCCGCAGTGGGAGCCTTAAGCGTAGCAGCAGCAGCAGCAGCAGCAGGGTCCATCTTGTTAACAGGCTTAACAGGCCTCGCTCTTGGAGGCATGGCGTGATGATGAAAAAGCCACCACAGCCAGCAGAGTGATGGAGAAACAAACTCACTGAGCGCCTTAAAAACACCTCTGGAGTGAGTTTGTGAAGCCTGAAACTCATGTCCTGGTATTGTTTTTGAAAACGGAATCGCCTTGTAGTGGTTGTTGACAATACTAAAACCTTGAAGAATGTGCGCTGACTCAGCGACCAGCATAGAACCTAGGGAGTCAACATTGGTGTTAGATGCCGGAACCAAACGAGATAATGCCTTAGCTCTCGAAACAATGTCCTCTGTATGGACACCAAAGTTATATCCGCGTGTTCCTCGTAGAAAGGTGATGCTTGATAGCTGGTTATTAACGTCTGTTACACTCTGGAGCACCGACATTGGAAGCTCCGAAGATCCGGGTGGCAGCTGCTGAGATCAGAAGTTGATCGTCCCTAGGATCACCTCAGGAAGGTTCGCACACTGTTGATTGGTAGTGGTGGGCCCTTGACCTCAATTCAGAGTGGATGTAAAATTATTGAGATGATTTATACATGAAAATACAAAGATATAAATAAGAGTACAAGATGGAATATGATCGACCTAGCTAGCCATGTACTCTAAGGGGTACATCCCCTTATTGCAGCGAAATCCAACCTTGCGACTCCAGACAGTTACGAAACTGTTCGGGCAGAATCCTCGCCACTGCTGTTGCCTGTTGCTGTCTGCCACGGTCCAGATGCTTCGTAACCGTACGACTCTTCGCGTCACTTCTGCCTTTCATCTTCAGCCTCGGTACTGCATGCTTCGATTGCTGCTGTCAGGAGTGCACAGTAACACTTCACCTTTTACTATTCGTAACACCCCCCTTCACTTCTGACCGTAGCAGGTCTTGACCCGCTTGACTACTCCGCTGAGTTCGGAGCAGTGCTGGTACTGCTGACGTGTCAATTTCTTCGTGAGGAAGTCAGCCGCCATATCACCCGTCGGGCAGTAGGTCAAGTCAACCTTGCCCTTGTCAACTTCGTCCTTGACGAAGAAGTACCGCAGCGCAATGTGCTTGGTACGGTTGACGAATCCAGGCTTGTTCGCGACCCTGATCGCACTCTGGTTGTCGTAGTGCAGGCGGAAGTTTGGCAAAGCTGGGATTTTCGCCTCCCGCAGCAGCTCCTGTAGGTAGAGGCCTTCGCGAACAGCTGTTGTTGCTGCGATGAGTTTGGCTTCCGCCAATGACAGGGCAACCAGCTCCTGTTTTTGTGAGTTCCAGGAGATGGGGCCACAAGGCTCGAGACGAAACAGGAAGCCGGTCCTGGATCGTCGATTGTCGGGGTCAGCGACATGATCGGCGTCCACATAGCCGATGAGGTTGAAAGATGCTGTTGGGACTGTGGAGTAGTAGAGCGCGACATTGGGCGTGGAGATCAAAAATTGCGTGGAGATCCTGGAGATTCTCAGCCGTTGCTTTGCGAGAGTACTCAGCCAGTTGGCTCGCGATGTACGAAAGATCGGGCCTGCAGGTGACAGAGGCGAAGAGCAGGCATCCTAGCTGCTGTTGGTAAGTCTGGAGTCCAGCGTGGGACAGGGTTTTGTTATCAAGTTTGTGGTTCGGTCCCGGGGTGCGGTAAGGTGTGGAGAGTGGTGCATGCGCAATGTTGAAGCGTTTGCCAAGTTCTTCTGCATACTTGGCTGCTGAGAGGTGAATGGCTTCTGGTGAGTAGGAGATGTTCAGTCCAAGGAACTGCTTCACGTCATGGTTACAGGTGATGTCGACGTGCCCCACAAGATTCTTCTTGAACTGCTCAAGCAGCTCGTTGCTTGACCCTGTGTAGAGGAGGTCGTCGTCGTAGACCGTGAGCAGGATATATTCGCCGCGAAAATCGCGGCTGTACATTCCGGGATCGTGAGGCAGCTGTTTGAGGCCTATCTCAAGCCAGATGTTGTGCATGTACTTTTGCCAGAGCCTTGGCGCCTGTTTAATACCGTAAAGGGATTTTCGCAGCTGGCACACGCGTGAATCTCCCTCGCCGTACATGTGCGGCTGCTCCACGCAAATTAGAGCATCCACTAACACGTAGAGGAACGCGTTCTTAACGTCGATCTGCCGAAGTGGTAAGTGCCTTGCGGCGGCGATGGCGAGCAGGATTCTGACGGAGGTGTGACGGCTGACCGGCGCAAACGTCTGGTCGAAGTCGATGCCGTGCCTCTGGTCGTACCCGCGAGGGGAAATAAAGTGAGGGGGAATAGAGTGAGGGGGAACAGAAGTGAGGGGAAAATGAGTGAGGGGAAATATAAGTGAGGGGAAATGTAGTGAGGGGGAAGAGAGTAACGGGGAATGGAAGTGAGGATTGGTTGGAGGGAGGGAACTGGGAAGCCTTGTTCTACTTGCACGTGTGCACTTCGAGCTGCTGTGCTGTGCGTTCTCATCTCAACACTCTGACCTTCCCTCATAATTTCCTCCATTTTTCCAACCCCCCTACTCCTTTCCCTCCTCCCTCCCTGCTGTGCGTGCTCCCTATCGCCCGTGTGTATGCGTATTATGCGTGTGTGCGTGTGTGTGCGTGTGTGTGCACGGCATGGCAGTGTCACAAGGCCAAGAACCTGGTGCCGGAGTCAGGGGGCAACGCCACACGCACAGGAGAGGCCGTTATGGAGTTGCAGGTAGGGAGGCAGGGGGGAAAGGGAGCAGGGGTTGTCAGAGCAAGTGGGGGGAGAGAGAGTGGGTAGGGTGGGATGGGGATAGATGTGATGGTCACTTGTGGTTCGAGGTGGGGCAGGGCGCCTTTGGGAGGGGGGAGATGTGTGGTGTGTGGGCCTCGCCTTTGGGAGGCACTTTTTGGAAAGAACTCCCGTCTTTGATTGCTGCTTCCCCCATCATTTCTCAAAAACCTTCTCCCTTCCTCGCATCTTGTTCTCTCCCTACACCGCGCCCCCCCGTGCAACATTGCATGCCCCCTGCTCAAGCACACCCCTCGCTCCCTCTGCCCGTCCCTCCCGCTGCCCATAACTCTTCGGGCAGGCGAAGCTACCGAACGCGCGAGTGGTGTACTGCAGTGCGACGGGGACATCGGAGCCACGGCACGTGGGGTACATGACACGCCTGGGGCTGTGGGGCGATGGCACGCCCTTCCTCAACTTCCAACACTTCCTCGGTACTTGCCATGCCACTGCCGTCACTCACTCGTTCACTCGCTCGTGCACTCGCCTACAAACCACTGTACCTTGCACTATGGCCCACTTACCCTCATCTCCTGTTATCTGCTTCCACTGCCATCTCCACTGCCATCTCCACTGCCGATAGTCAAGCTACAGCACAAACCTCAGCCCCGGTTCCTCCTTGACGCTTCCTGCCCTCCCCGTTCCCTGCTCCCATGTATGTTCCGCCGGTGCTGCTGCAGGCACGATTGACAAGAGGGGAGTGGGAGCACTGGAGCTCATGGCTATGGACATGAAAGCGCGGTCAGTGCTCCGCCTATGCCCATGCCCATGCCCATGCCCATGCCCATGCCCATGCCCATGTCATGCACCAAGCTAACCTTTGTATTCATTCCACATAGCTACGCCCACCAACCTGCCTCCATTCACGGCCCCTCGGTCCGTTTCCTCACATCGCTACCCGGCCCACCCCTGTCTGCCTCTCCACCCCCACCCCTTCCCTCCTGCAACTCCCCCATTCCCCTCTCCCCTCCTCTTCCATTCAAACGGCAGGGGCATGTACGTGTGTCGCACGCTGAGCTTTGACGGCGCGGAGTTTGAAGTGGTGCACGTGCCGCTGGAGCCCAGCATGCAGGTGAGCCGTGCGGGCAGAGGGAGGGAGGGGGAGGGTTGGCGGGTGGGAAGGCTGGATGCCTGTGGACGGTTGGATCGCTGTGTGTCTGCAATTACTGGTGGTGCTTGCTCTCTGCACTCGGCTGTGCAAATCGGCATCAAAGGCGACCCACCGCCCGCGTTTCCTCGTCCGCCTCTCACCCTTTTCTCCTCCTCCCCTCTCCCCTTTACACACCCCCCCTACCCCCCACCTTCACGAGATGCACGGCACTGCCATGGGCGGAGCTGAGGGCGGGCATGATAGGGGCTTGGCACCACTCCCCTCACGTCTCCCTGCCCCCTTCCCCTTTCTCCCCCTTTCCCCCTCTCCCCCTCCGCCTCCCCCCAGGAGATGTACTCCAAGGCGGCGCAGCTGTGGGCGGAGCTGAGGGCGGACATGATAGCAGCGGCGCTCGCCCTGTCCTCTGCGCAGACCGCCTCTGCCTCCGACTCCTCCAAACGCTCCTCCGCCAATTCTGTCTGGCGCACCTTCTGGGCCGCGCACCAGGTGCTGGGAGGGATGAGGGGAAAGAGGGTGGGGGTAGGATGAGGGGAACGATGGGGAATGGGAAGTAGGATGGAAGCAAGCACGCACCAGGTGGTGTGGGAGGGGGAGTAGGATGAGGGATGAGGTTGGAAATGAGATGGGGAGAGTTGTTGGATGAGATGGGACATGGAACAAGGCTTCTTGTGGTGTTCTGCTAATGGGCCTATTCCACACACCCCTCCTCCGCTCCCTCCAGCGCACTAGAACACCATACCCCCATGTACTCCCTCCATCTGCTTCTCCTCAACTCTCACCTGCACTCCTATCCCACACATCGCTCCTCCCTTTCCTCTCTTCTCCCCCCTGCCACCCTCCTCTCCCCTCCCCACTCCCTCCCTGCACTCACCTCCCCCCCTCTCGCTTCTCCCCCCACCATGACAGCGTTTCTTCCGCCATCTGTGCATCAGCGCCAAGGTGCCAGCAGCGGTGCGCATGGTGCAGCGGGCAATAGCGGAGGGCAAGTGCGTGGTCATCGGGCTGCAGAGCACGGGCGAGGCCCGCACCGACGAGGCTGTTGCTAAACTGGTGCGCTGGGGAGAGGGGTGGGGAAGGGAGGGGGCGCTGTGCGTGGATGCTTGGGAGGGGCTGGGGGGAAGGGAATGGGGCAACTTGGCTGTAGGCCATACTCTCAGTATGCTATGCATCAACTTCACCATCCGCAGCTCTGCCCATGCTTCGCTACTCCTCCATCCCTCGCCCTTTCTCCCCCCTCCCCCTCTCCCCATCCACCCTCCCCCGCCCATTCCTCTCCCCCCATCCGCCCCCATCTCCCCCTACACCCCCCCCCCCAGGGCACGGAGATGGACGACTTTGTGAGCGGGCTCAGGGAGATCCTGCTCAAGCTTGTGGAGGAATGAGACGTATGTGACTTTTGCGTCGACTCAAACATTCCCCCCCCCTCTCCTCTACCCCAATCCGCCCTCATGTCCCCCTGCGTCGTCCCCCCTGCGCGCCCCCCCACGGCACGGAGATGGACGACTTTGTGAGCGGCCCCAGGGAGATCCTGCTCAAGCTCGTGGAGGAGACCTACCCGCTGCCCCCGCCACCGGCCCTGCCCAAACGTCTGCTGCTGCCCTGCCCTTCCGTGCCCTGCCCTTCCGTGCCCTGCCCTTCCGTGCCCTGCCCTTCCGTGCCCTGCCCTTCCGTGCCCTGCCCTTCCGTGCCCTGCCGTGCCCTGCCCTGCCCTGCCCTGCCCTGCCCTGCCCTGCCCTGCCCTGCCCTGCCCTGCCCTGCCCTGCCCTGCCCTGCCCTGCCCTGCCCTGCCCTGCCCTGCCCTGCCCTGCCCTGCCCTGCCCTTCCGTGCCCTGCCCCGCCCTGCCCTGCCCCGCCCCGCCCCGCCCCGCCCCGCCCCGCCCCGCCCCGCCCCACCCTGCCCTGCCCCGCCCTGCCCTGCCCTGCCCCGCCCTGCCCTGCCCTGCCCTGCCCTTCCCTGCGCTGCCGTTCCATGGGCTCTACTGGTGCTTTGTTCTTCATTTTTATTCTCAAAAGTGGCTGTAATGCATCGACCGCCCCTCCTTGACGCTTGGAAGCTTGCCTAGTTCCACCTTCCATGGCCCTTACTAGTGCGGTGCGTTCCTTGCGACTCCCTGCTGTCCCTCCACTCCACTCCATCCTCATCATTCACCTCTACGCACCGCTTTGCACTTCCTTGACTGCCACTCAGAGGGCGAAGAGCTGAAGAAGGAGAGGGAGCGGGAGCAGGAGTGGGGAGTGAGTCGCGGCGTGTCGGTGTCGCAGCGGGGGAGGGTGCGGCGCGCAGTGAAGTACGAGAGCGATGATAGCGACGAGGACGGGGACGAGGACTTTGATGGTGAGCAGGCAGGGGGACGGTGGCTGGGGAGTGTCGTGGGAGTGAGGCTGGATTGAGGTGGGTGGGAGGTGATAGAGGGGAGTGACCTGAGGTAGTTGGGGGGGTGTGAGGTGGTTGGGTTGAGGGGGAAAGGGCGATATAGGGATGTGAGGGGCTGAAGGGTGGAGTGCGTCAAGACGAGGTGGGAGTGAATGTGGTGGGCATGTGAGGAGTACATTTGACAGCATCAGCCAGTCGCACTTGGTGCCAGTGGTAGGGTAGTAAAGGCAATCAACTAAACCCGCTCAGCTAAATGGGCATGACTCGCAGCATCCCTCCTTACTGCCTCACTCCATCACTCCATCACTCCCTCAACCTCACTCACACTCTTACTCCCTCGGCCTAATCTCACCCCTCTCACCTCACCGCTCCCTCCCTCCCGCCGCCCCCGCTCCACCTCCTTTCACGGCACGTGAGCGCAGCGGCATCGGAGACATCATCGGACGACAGTGACTTCCAAGGGGACATCTGCCAGATCTGCCACGACGAGGAGGTGCGTCTCTCACTCCCACCCACCCACCCACCCACTCCACCCACCCACCCACTCCACCCACCCACTGCCACATTCTTTGCTCACTCTGAAAGCTAACAAGATGCCCGGCAACATCTCTTCCGCTCTCTATTTGCTTTCCATACATGCGCGTCCTTCTCCCCTCCTTCCTTTTCGAGCCCCCTCCAAAGGCACCAACAACGCATGCCCCTCTCCATTCTTTAGGCCCCTCAAAAAGCCCTCCCCCCTTTTAGAGGCTCTGCAAGAAGCAACAACATCTTTCCCTCTTGAATTTGTTGTTTCCCATACACGCCCTTCTCCCCACCCTCGTCCCTCCCTCCCTCCCCCCTCTCCCCCCCCTTCTCCCTCCCTCCCTCCCTCCCTCCCATCCTTCCAGCTGTCTGGGTCGCTGGTGGCATGTGCGGTGTGCTCGCGTGTCGGCCACGTGGCATGCTTTGAGAGGCACACCGGCAGAAGCGGAGGTTACCACCCCTGGTTGGCTGACGCCCCCCGAGGCCACGTCAGCACCAGGTCAGCAGCAGGCAGCGAGCGGCTGGCGGGAGGAACGAGGAGGCAAGGAGGTGACGTGGCGAGCCCAATAGACCTGGGAGATGATGACGTGGATGAGGAGGAGGAGGAGGATGCGAGGGAGGAGGCAGAGGAGGGGAGTGTTGAGGAGGGGAGGAAAACGAAGAGCAGGAAGGCAGGAGGGAGCAGCAGCGGAAGTGAAGGGGGGAGCAGCGGGCAGGAGGAGGAGGGGGAGGCGCAGGTGCCGTGGCTGTGTGGGGAGTGTGACAAGACAACGAGTGAGATTCGCATGGAGAGAGAGACTTACCTCACGGAGATGGAAGCCAGGTTAGTGCTTGCTACAGGGCTTTATGGGCTCAGCATTTACAGTTTCGTGTTCGAGGTACAAAATCATACAGGTATGGCATGGCATGGAAGGGGAGGGCAGGGCAGGGCAGGTCGCGGCATGGCACGGAGGGCCACGGCAGGGCACGACAGGGCACGGCAGGGCATAGCAGGGCACGGCATGGCATGGCATGGCAGCAACATGTGAGTCAACTTCCATTCCTGAGAGTGCATGTGTGTTCTCTCCCTACCCATGCTCTCCCTCTTGCTGAACCCATTGTTACTGAGCCACAACAGCATTCCGCCCCTCGCTTCAATCGCCCCCCCGCCAGGTATAACATTGCTGTTGCTCGCAAGTCCGAGATCATGGAAGCCATCAGGAAGCTTCCTCTGCCCAATAATCCCTTGGATGAGCTCATCGACAAGGTGACTGGGTGTGAGTGGGTGTGAGTGGGTGCGAGTGGGTGTGAGTGGGTGTGAGTGGGTGTGAGTGGGTGTGAGTGGGTGTGAGTGGGTGCGAGTGGGTGCGAGTGGGTGCGAGTGGGTGCGAGTGGGTGCGAGTGGGTGCGAGTGGGTGCGAGTGGGTGCGAGTGGGTGCGAGTGGGTGTGAGTGGGTGTGAGTGGGTGCGAGTGGGTGCGAGTGGGTGTGAGTGGGTGTGAGTGGGTATGAGTGGGTGTGAGTGGGTGTGAGTGACGCTCATCACCGCTTTTCCACCCGTGAAAACTGAGGGAGCATCAGTAAAGCATACTTCCAGGATTTCTTTTGTACTTTGAAGTGAAGGACGCGCATAGACGTCGTTCATTGTGTCGACCCGTTGGTCAGTCCAGTCACAAGTCGTTTGCTGCTCCCAGCCATTACTACACGTCGCCAGTGATTCTTCTGTGCAATGACTGACTTGGTACTGATGATCTCCGCTGCACACTGCTGATAGGCACCCCGTTTGTGTGATTCTGTGACTGTGTGGGTGTGTGTGTGGGTGCGTGGGTGTGCGTGGGTGTGGCTGTACATGCATGGGAGCAGCTGGGCGGGCCAGAGGCAGAGGCGGAGATGACAGGGCGGAGGGGCATGCTGGTGCGCACGACTGCTGCGGGGGGAGGCAAGGGCACTGTCAGTTACCAGGCTCGGAACTCGTGAGTCATGTACTGCCATGCACTGTCACTCACGCATGTGTGGACCCGTGAGAGGTGCCCGTCCAATGCACCGTGTGTGGGTGCAAGTACGTCGTGCATGTGTGTGAATGCTGCTGTCTCTCTGTCTGTCGATTTTCCCAACTGTGCATGGCACCTGGCTTCCATGTGCATGCATCCATGCACGCATGCACGAGAATAATCACGTCATCACTGCTACTCATCTCGTCTCGCTTTTGTTGCTGCTGCTGCGCACTGACCGCACACTCCACCACACTGCACCCCACTTCACGGAGGTACTGGAGCTGGAGGTGCTGGAGCTGGAGGCTCTGGTACTGTGGGTACTGCGCCGCGACGACCGTTTTTCTACCCGCAGCCGTAGTCGTCCCTGCCACCGCCTGACTCGGCACTTCGTCAGGTTCTTAGTTTTCTATCTTCCTCTGGCCTTACTCCACCTATTCTGTGTCCTCCGTCTGACCATTCACAACCGTAGTTACTGCCTGGCTCTCCACTACCTGCTCCTTCTCCTTACCCTACACAGACAGGCTCCCTGGCAGAGCGTCGTGAGCCTGAGTCTCGTCATGCCTCCTCTGTTTGCAATGTTAGTCGTGCTCGTCGTCCTCGTCCTCCACCTGTCCCCGGCACGCACATTATGGCACTTCGTCCTTCCTCTGTTCCACAGCGTGTTGCCCTGCCGTCTCCTCCAGCGTCCTCTCTTCCTGACGTTCCTGACCCTGAGTCTGACGTTGCTCGTGCTGCTAGTCCTACTGTCACTCGTCTCCTGACCATTTTTGTCACTGGCCCTTCCTTTGAGTCTACTGCTGCGTCTGCCTTAGTCACTAAGCTCGTAGACTTTGCTGCTACCTGTCGTCTCGACTACGTCGGGAGTCTTGTTACTGATTCTGAGTTAGACTGTCCTCCGTTCGTCGGGGGTGAGCTTGCCCTTGACAGTGACGTTCTTTAGGACAGGCAGTTTGATCTCGAGTGCCTCGCGGCCGCTGTACCTCATCTCGCGTCCATGTTGCTTTGCCCCGAGGGAGACCCGGATGCACTTGACATCCCCACCCCGCGCACTTACGAAGAGGCGATCACGGGTGAGTACTCCTCTCAGTGGCAGACAGCCATGGACGCAGAGATGGCTTCCTAGAAGTCCACAGGCACCTACGTCGACGAGGTTCCCCCTCCTAGGACGAACATTGTCGATGACATGTGGCATAGTGAAGTGGCCGCCGGGTTCTCCGCCTGCCTTCAAGGCGCGTTACGTTGCTCGAGGCTTCAGTCAGCGACAAGGGGTCGACTTCTTCCAGACCTTCTCCCCCACCCCGAAGATGACTACTCTTCGGGTGTTACTGCACGTTGCAGCACAGCGTGACTACGAGCTGCACTCTCTCGGCTTCTCCACAGCTTTCTTGCAGGGCAGCCTTCCCGAGGAGATCTGGCTGCGCCGCCCACCTGGTTTCACTGGGTCGTTTCTTGAGGGTACCCAGTGGAGCCTCCGGCGGCCAGTCTACGGTCTGCGCCAGGCGCCCCGCAAGTGACACACTGAGGACGACACTTGCGGCTCTTGGGTTTTGTTCCTTCGACTGCTGACCCGTCGCTGTTTCTGCGCTCCGACCCTTCTCTGCCGCCGTTCTACATCCTCGTGTGCATCAACAACTTGGTCTTTGCTACTGCCGACACTGAGGCGCTGACCCTTGTGAAGGCGGAGCTGCAGAAGAGACACACTTGCACTGACCAGGATGACATGCGTAGCTATCTTGGCTTGCAGATCACCCGGAACAGAGCAAGGTGCACCATCACTCTGACTCAATCACACATGGTGCAGCAGGTCCTTCAGCGCTTCGGCTTTCGGTTCTCCTCGCCACAGCCCACTCCTCTGTCTACAGGCCACTCGCTCTCAGCTCCACCTTCGGACGAGTCTATAGAGCCGAGTGGTCCGTATCCAGAGCTTGTGGGCTGCCTCATGTACCTGATGACGTGCACTCGACCTGACCTTGCGTACCCTCTCAGCATCCTTGCTCGCTTTGTTGCACCCAGGAGACACCGGAAGGAGCACTGGACAGCTGCACAGAGGGTACTGCGTTACTTGTGTAGTACGTCAGGCATGGGGCTTGTGCTTGGAGGACGGGGCTCAGTGGTACTCACAGGACACTCAGACACGTCTTGGGCTGACGACCAGGCGACTCAGCGGTCGTCACAGGGTTACTCTTTCAGTGTCGGCTCTCGTTCTGTCTCGTGGAGGTCCACTCGCTCGTCTTCTGTGCTTGGTTCCAGATGTGAGGCCGAGATCTACGCTGGGGCTATGGCTGCGCAGGAGTTACGCTGGCTGACCTACTTGCTGTCTGACCTGGGTGAGCGGCCTCGTTCTCCTCTAGTTCTGTACATCGACAACAAGGCCATGATTGCCTTGTGTTGGGAGCAGAGACTGGAGCACAGAACGAAGCACATTGCTCTTCGTTACTTTCTCGCTCGAGAGTTGCAGCAGCTGTCAAATGTTGATATTTGTGATAGGATGTAGTGAGGTGCTCATTAGTGAGTACAAACATGTTAGGGTTTCCTATTTGTACCCCAACTCCTTTCTAGTCAATCATTCCGTTGTGTTCAGATTCTGAGATGGTATCCGAGTAGGTTCCGTTCCTAGCTCCCCGCCCTAGCCTAGCCTAGCGCCTTCTCGCCTTAGCGCCCTCCGCGCCCTCCGCGCCCTCCGCGCCCTTTGCGCCTTAGCGCCCTCCGCGCCCTCCGCGCCTTAGCGCCCTCCTAGCCCGACCGCGCCCTCCGCGCCTTAGCGCCCTCCTAGCCCAGCCCTCGGTTCCGTCGCGCGCCCCTCCCCACTGTCGACCGCCCCTCCCCACTGTCGTGCGCGCCCTCCCCACCGTCGCGCGCCCTCCTCCCGCCCCTCCCTACCGTCGCGCGCCCTCCCCACCGCGCCCGCGCCCTTCGCTAGCGCCTCCGCGCCCTTAGCCCGTTGCGCCCTCTTGCGCCCTCTCGGCCCAGCGCCCTTCGCGCCCGTCGCCTGCGACCTCCGCGCCCTTAGCCGCGCCCTTAGCCTCCGCGCCCTTCGTCCGCGCCCGTAGCCCGCGCCCTTAGCCGCGCCCACGCCTCCGTGCCCTCCTCACCTCCGCGCCTCCAAGCCCTTAGCCCGCGCCCTAGCCTCCGCCCGCGCCATCGCCTTAGACCGCACCCACCCATACTCGGCACGCGCCCTCACCACACCACCACCCTGTTCGCTGGGCCCTACCCATTTCTACTACCATTGGTCTCTCGCTCAGCGGCTGGCAGCCGCTTCTCTCGCCGACCGCCTAGGTTAGAGCCGTGTAGCCGCTAGCTCCTAGCCCTTAGCACTCGTCTCTGGAGTTCCTCGCCGCTTCACGCCTAGACTAGGTCGCTCCGTGCTCTAGCCGCCTCTAGCATGGCCTCCATTATGGAATCCCGCCGCCTTCGTTTTGATGCGGAGGGACGCCCGATCGAGTTCAGTACCTGGCAGCGCCAGACCACGCCTACCTCACAAACGCCTGACAACCGCTACCCGCGCTTCTGCTGCTGTGTCGGTCTCTGAGGACACTGCTGCCGTTTCTGCCGCAGACTGGCAGAAACGGGGCAAGAGTGGCAAGAAGGGCGGGAAGGGGGGAGGTGGAGGCGGTGGAGGCGGCGGTGGAGGTGGCGGTGGAGGTGGGAGCGGCGGTGGTGGAGGCGGCGGCGGAGGTGCACCAGGAGGAGGGGGCCTTGGAGGAGGTGCAGGACAGCCAGGCCCGCCCACTGGCGGTGGCCCGACCGGTGGGGGTGTTGGACCCCAGCAGTAGCAGTCGCAGCAGCACCAGCCACAGCAGGGACAGCAGCAGCAGCAGGGACCGCAGCAGCAGCAGGCACCGCAGCATTTCCAACAGTGGGGGCCCCCACTGCAGTGGGGTCCGCAGCAGCACTGGGGTCCCCCGCCGCAGTGGGGTCCGGGAGGACCAGGGAGCACCAGCCGCAGCGGCAGTACTTCCAGCTGGGCCCCTCGCCCCCCTCGCAGTGACACTGGCCCCTGCACCCACTGGTGCCTCACCGGACCGGGCAGCCCCTGTCTCTGCGGTCGCGACGACCACTCTGCCGCGCGGTGCTTCCGCCGCCTCGATGACCTCTACCGTGCTCGTTGGGGCCATGCGGCGACCACGCCTCGCTGGGCTCGCCTGTTAGCCCGTAAGATTGATGTGTTTGATCTGTCCATGGACGATGCTCGTCAGCATGCTTTGTATGCTGATGTTGACTATTGTGCTGATGGATCGGTGTGCTCACATGTTCGTAGATTAGCTTGCTTGCCTCCTGCTAGTGTAGACTTGTGCCTTTCTAGTCTAGGTGCTTGTGTTGCTGCTCTAGGTGCTTGTGTAGCCACTAGGACAGGTGACCCTCCGGCTGTGGAGTCCCTGTCCTTCACGCTGGACTCTGGTGCGTCTCGGTGCTTCTTCCGCGACCACACGACCCTCACGCCACTCCTCACTCCTGTTTTGGTAGCTCTGGCTGATCCTACCTCAGGACCAGCCGTTGCGCGTAGCTCCACTACCCTCCCGTGTCCTGTGGTCCCCTTTGGTGTCCTGCGCGGCCTCCACATCCCCTCGTTCACTCGGAACTTGGTGGGTGTTGGTTACCTCCAGGACAGGGGGATCACGGTTACCTTTGTGGGGGGTGGGAGGACTGCGGTCTGTACAGACGCTGCCACAGGTGCTGTTCTGGCCACGTTCACCAGGGAGCCCCGCTCCGGTCTCTACGTTCTCCACACCGAGCGCTCCCCGGTTGCGTCCTCCGCTCATGTCGTTGCGTCCCCTCCAGTCCAGGTGTCCAGTCCGGTTACAGTGTCTAGCCAGGTGGTCATGTCTGGTCCAGTTGCAGTGTCTAGTCCGGTCGCGGTGTCCTGTCCGGTTGCTGCGTCTTGCTCCTGTCGATCCCCCGGACCATCTTGTGGCACCACCGCCTTGGTCACCCGTCGATCCCCCGCCTCCGCGGCATGACCAGCCAGGGGCTTGTCACAGG